GTGGCGTGTCACTTTCTTCACCCGCAAACATGAATCATCTCTCGGTGATAAGACATGTCATTTTCTTTACGAGATTATGGCTGGGTGACTTAGCGGGGTGGCTTGAAGGGAGGGGGGAGGGAGGGGAGGGAGAGGGAAGGAGAGAGGGAAGGAGGAGGGAGGGAAGGAGAGAGGGAGGAAAGGAGAGGAGAGAGAGAGAGAGAGAAAGGAGAGAGAAGAAGAGGGGAGAGAGAAAGAAAGGGAGAGAGTGAGTTTCCTTTTTTGAACATTTTACAGTTTATGAGGAGTTGGTGCGGGCGTCGAAGCTTCTTGATTAGAGCTCACTTTCTTGTTCTTAAGTCTTTTTATCTATCATCTGCTCACCCTTATCTATCTGTACCTACCCATCTACCTACCTATCTACCTATCTATCTATCTATCTATCCACCTATCTACCTATCTATCTATTATCTACCTACCTATCTACCTACCTTTCTATCTATCTGTCTGTCCATCTATCCATCTATCTATCTGTCTACCTATCTACCTACCTATCTATCTACTTACCTACCTACCTACTTACCTACCAATTTATATCTATATCTCTATCCCTCCCTCCCTCCCTCCCTCCCTCCCTCCCCAAATTCTCCCTACTCCCTACTCCCTACGAGAACCAATTTAACCGCAAGCATAAAGAATATAAAAAAAAGGAAAAAAAAGAAGCCAATTCAGCGAAGCCATCCTGCCTGATTCCTGATTCTCTTATGCTTACTGCTGTTTACCAAGCCGAGGAAAAAGCCCTTTGCTCGTTACACTTGGCAACGATGTTTACCCACAGAACATCCCCTGAGGAATCGCTCCACCTTCGATCAGCTGAGAGAGAGAGAGAGAGAGAGAGAGAGAGAGAGAGAGAGAGAGAGAGAGGAAGGGAGAGAGAGAAGAGAGAAAGAGAGGGATGGGGGGGGAAAAGGGAGGGGGAGGAGGGAGGAGGAGGGGGGAGAGAGAGGTGGGGGGATAGGGGGGGAGAGGGAGAGGAGAGAGAGAGAGAGATGGGGAAATTAGAAAGAGAGGGAGGGAAGAGTAGGAGTAAGAAAGAGAGAGAGAGAGAGGAGGAGGAGAGAGAGAGAAAGGGAAGAGAGGAGAGAAAGAGAGATGGGAGAGAGAGAGAGAGAGAGAGTGAGTGGGTGTGGATAAGAGAGAGAAAGAGATAGAAGGAAAAAAGACAGACAGACAAGATGAGACAAAGACAAACAAACCGAGTATTATCTCACGGGAGACGGAGACGCCAAAAAAAGAGAGAAAACTTCGGAGCTTTTTTGAGACAGGTTTAGACATGTGGTAGCGGATGGCTTCGACAACTCTGACTTGGAGAGACGTGGTCGGGGGGAGGTGGGGGGTGGTGGGGGTGGGGGAGATCGAGGTGGGGAAGTGGGGGGGGAGACCTTGATGGGGTTGGGAAGGGAGGTTTTGGGGAGGTGGGGGTGGGGCGTGGGGAAGTGGGGGGGAGACCTTGATGGGGTTGGGAAGGGGAGGTGGGGAGATCGAGGTGGGTGGGGGAGATCGAGGTAGGTGGGGTGGGGAAGTGGGGGGATGGGAAAGACCTTGAGGGTTGGGAAGGGGAGGTTTTGGGGAGGTGGGGGGTGGGGGAGATCGAGGTGGGGCTGGGGAAGGGGGAGGGTGAGAGACCTTGATAGGGTTGGGAAGGGGAGGTTTTGGGGAGGTGGGGGATGGGGGAGGAGAGGTGGTGGAAGGTAGACCTTGGGGGGAGGGGGGAGGGTAGACTTGATGGGGTTGGGAAGGGGAGGTTTTGGGGGGGGGGGAAAAGCAATGCTGTCTTGGGGAAGGAATCAGCGGGATGATAAGGTGTAGAGTGGGGAGAAAAAACTATAGGTAATGGGGAAATAGACTCAATAAGGTAAGGGACAGGACGTCAAAGGGGTAGGGAAAGGGGAGGTGAAGGGGAAGCTATAGACTGTGGAGGGGAAAACATCAGTAAGGAAGGGAAGGGACAAGGAAGGAGAAGAAAAAGCAATGGACTATGGAAAGAGAGGTCGATTGGGGAGGTTAGGAAGAGGGGTAGGGACTGATAGAGGGGAGAGGGGGAGTAGGGTAGGGACTGATAGAGGGGAGAGGGGAGAGGGGGGTGGGGAGAGGGGTAGGACTAGGGACTGATAGAGGGGAGAGAGGGGTGGAAGGGGAGAGGGGAAAGGGGGGTGAGTGATGCCAGCTGGCCTTCGTCACGTATGCAATATGAGTCCAGTGACAGGTTTATCTTTTTACGTGTCCTGGTGCGACCATATCTCCTTTTATGGCGAGCGCGTGCTTCTTCGTGACGGGAAAAGGCAATCAAATTTGGCAACGGCGAAGGTATTGCAGAATGTCAGCGTGCGAAATGAGTACGCTGACGAAGCTCATTTCGTTTCATTCGGTGGGAAATTCTGAAGAGAAAATAGGTGTATAAGTGAAAGAGGGATGGAATAATGAAATAAATGATAATGAAAGAATTAAGATTAGGGATTTTTTTATATAAATAAATAACATTAGTCTGAAGGCTTCCGGTGTTATTTGAATAAAAAACTAGGTTAATGATCAGAACCGAACAATAAATAAAAACAAGAAAAATTTCACAAAGCAGACGCAATACATTGATATGCAAAGTAACGCAAAACCCTATTTTATATTCATATAAGCCGTGGGCTATCATAATGTACACAAGGGTACGAAAAATAAAGAAAAAACAGCATCAAAGATAAGAAATTATAATTAGGAGGAGGAAAAAGAAGGACACCTTTATCTCACATATACCACCTCTTGCAAAAAAAAAAAAAAAATCTTATATTGACTACTTTGCAAGACTGACAGAAGGCCTCGGGGGAGGGGAGGGGAGGGGACATGGGAGGGGGGGGAGGGGGAGGGGGACTGGGGGGGGGGGGGGGACGGGGAGGGACGGGAGGGGGACTGGGAGAAGGGGGAGGGGGGGGGAGAGGAAACCAGACAACGGTTCAAGCTTCAGACCTTCCTTGGGGGGCCTAGGCAGGAGGGGAGTGGGAGGAGGGAGGAAGGGGGAGGGGGAGAGAGAGGAGAAAGACGAGGGGAACGGGTGGAAAGGGAGAGAGACAGAGAAGAGGTGAGGAAGTGGGAAGAAGAGGGGAAGGAGGACGAAGGAGGAGAGGAATAGGTGAGGAAGAAGGGAAATGGGAGGACGAAGGAGGAGAGGAAGAAGGGAAATGGGAAGAAAAGAAAGGAGGGGAGAGTAGGAGTGGAAGATAAGGGAGAGAGTATGAAGAAAGAGAGATAGAAGGGAGATAGGAGACGGGAAAGCTAGGAAGAGATAGGAAGGAGACAAGGAGAAATAGGGGAGGGAGAGAGGCAGGCGAAGAATTGATCTGGGAATGGGGTCGATTGAGGGGGGGGGGGAACTTAGGCCATATGGGGGAGGAAACGGGAGGGGGGAGGGGGAGACGGAGAGGGGAGTGAACGGAAAGCAAGATGAGAGATGGTGAGATAGGGAGAAAAGGAGCAGAAGGAGGAAGGGAAATAATGGTAGAGAAGGGAGAGGAAAGGAATAGGAGATAGGATAGGAGAAGAAGATAGAGAAACAAAAACAGAAAGAACAACAAAACAAACAAGAGAAGACATAACGAACAAAAAAAAAAAAAAAACAGAAGGAACAAAACAAAACAAAATCGAAGAATCAAAGAAACCCAGATAAAGCAAAGGGAGAGAGCGAAAATAGAACAAGAAGAAATCGAGCCAATCAGATCAAGGAAATTCCCAGAGATAAAATAAAAGGTCACGGAATCATTTGCTGGAGAGTCTGATAAGTGTCTGGTGCCGTAACCGACCCGAACTTCCATTCCATTACGCAGTCCATCTCATTTCGTTGCGGAGTTGATACTTCCTTCCTTTTTTTTTTTTTTTTTTTTTTTGTGGGTTGATGGAAACTTCCTTCCTTTTTTCATTAATCATTTTCTTTTTTTTTTTTGTGGGTTGATGTTACTGGGGTTTGATTTTTTTTTTTTTAACTTTTCTTTTTTTCACTTGATGAAACTTCCTTTTTTTCTGAATTACGGTTCATTGGTCGATTTTTTTTTTTTTTTTTGTGGTTTGATGGAATCCTGATAGTTCAGTTCAACCGGATGGGGCAGAAATAGGTGTTTTTTTTAGGGATTGTGATAGTAGAAGTAGCGAATATGTGGGGGGGAAATGAGTGTCAGAATGCGTCGTTTCTGTTGTAGTTCAAGTACGAATGTATTTCGATTTTTTCATGTGTATAATGTCTCTGTTATTATTTATGATAGGTGTGAGTGTGGTTGTGGATGTGTGTGGTTGATGTTTGCGAGCATGTGTTTACGTGAATGTGTGCATGTGGGGATGCGTGCGTGTGGATGTGGGGCTATATACCTACCTACCTAAATAACTAATTAACTAACTACCAACTTACCCACCTACTTCTACCTACCTTACCTACCCTCTACCTACCTCTACCTACCTACAATATCTATCTGCTATCTGTCTATCTATCTATCTCTGTCTGTCTGTCTATCTAATCTAAACTAAAATCTCTTCTCTCCTCCCTCCCTCTCTCCCCCTCTCCCCTCCCTCCCTCCCATCTCCCTCCCTCCCTCCTCTCCCTCTCCCTCTCCTCTCCCTCCCTCCCTCTCTCTCCCTCCTCTCCTCTCTCTCTCCCTCCCTCTCCCTCCTCTCCTCCCTCCCTCCCCTCCCCCCCTCCCCCTCCCTCCCTCCCTCTCCCTCTCTCTCCCTCTCCCTCTCCCTCTCCCTCCCTCCTCCCTCCCTCTCCCTCCCCCCTCTATCTACCTACCTACCTATCTATCTACACACACACACACACAGATAAACTACACACAGGAGAAGCAACATCCTCGACACCAGCTGCCGCCCAGTTCAGCAACGTTGCCACCGCGTCGGAATTCACTTAAGCGCTCTTTTGTTCCACACCTAAACTAATTAACCTGGCACAAACGAGGATAACGCGATTACTCTCATTGTTCATGTATAAGATGAAAGAGGTGGTGAAGGAGTCGATAGCTCTGAGAGATACAACTCGCTGCAATACGTGCCAGGAGGAAGCAGTACAGGTGCATGTTGCAAGCAGGCTGAAAGGTGTGCTTTAGAGAACAATGGCTTCGTGTGAATTATTATGGCCCTATATACCCGTGTGGTTCGATCTGCCTTGGTTGTGTTATGCAGTATTGCAGTCTTTATATTTGGATTCCTATATGTGAAAGAAGTTATTCTCATATTGTACATATGCAGACACATGCACATACGTACGATATCATATATACATATACACACATACATCTACATACATATATACATACATACATACATACATATACATACATACATACATACATACATACATACATACATACATACATACATACATACATACATACATACATACATACATATGTATGTGTGTGTGTATATATAAATGTGAATAAGTGCGTACATGCGGACACACGCACACGCAAACGTACACGCCCGCACACACATATATGTGTGTGTTAAGGTATATATGCACATATTGTTTGCAGAAATACGTTTTGTGTAAGTAACCTCACATCTCAAAAATAGTCACTTTCTGGAATTACAATGAGCTCTTCCATATTTTATTCCTTCATCTACTTGCCAAACAGACCTCGGCTCCGCAAACACGAGCCCCAACCAGACGTATTTCGCCAACTAATCCTTCTCGTTCACCCCCGCTGATTCATCCTTCTCGTCCACCCCCGTTTCACCGCCGCTGATTCATCCTTCTCGTCCACCCCCGCTTCATTTCATCCTTCTCGTCCACCCCCGCTGATTCATCCCTTCTCCCACCCCCGCTGATTCATCCTTCTCGTCCACCCCCGCTGATTCATCCTTCTCTCCACCCCCGCTGATTCATCCTTTCTCGTCCACCCCCGCTGATTCATCCTTTCTCGTTCACCCCCCGCTGATTCATTTCCTTCTCGTCCACCCCCGCTGATTCATCCTTCTCGTCCACCCCCGCTGATTCATCCTTCTCGTCCACCCCCGCTGATTCATCCTTTCGTCCCACCCCGCTGATTCATTCCTTCTCGTCCACCCCCAATGATTCTCCTTCTCGTCCCCCCCGCTGATTCATTCATCGGGCAAGCATTGCTCTCCGGCATCGAGCATGCCCTTTGTCATCCTCGCCTCCGGGAGTCCAAGTTCCGCCTCTAACCACTCCTTTTTTCTCCCCTTCTCTCCCCTCGCAGGTCCTCTCTCTCGGCGCGGACGTCCTGCCGGAATACAAACTCCAGTCGCCGCGGATACACAAATGGACGATCCTACACTACTCGCCGTTCAAGGCAGTGTGGGACTGGATCATCCTCCTCTTGGTCATATACACGGCTATCTTCACGCCTTATGTGGCCGCCTTCCTTCTCAACGAGCAGGAGGAACGCAGAAAGAATCACCAGAATCAATACGATAATCCTATTGTTATTATAGACCTTATTGGTGAGTAGAATGGAGGTGTTTTTGGGGGGAGGTGGGGGAAGGGAAGGGTAGAAGGGGGTGATGGAGTGGTAGATTTTTGTAGATTTTATTTAACTCCTTTTTGGGGGGGAGAATGTTTTTTTTTTGTTGTTTTTTTTATGTAAGTGGGTGATATTTTTTTGTTTCTGTCTGTATCTGTTTCTTTTCTCTCTCTCGAGCTCTCTTTCTCTTTCCATTTCTATGTTTCTGTCTGTCTGTCTTTCTCTTTTTCGTCTCTCTCTTTCTCTCACTCTCTTCATCTTCTTTTTCGCTTGAATTTATGAAATACATGAATGGAATTATTTTCTGTCAAAGTAATGGTATAATGTATTTTTCCTTTTTCTCTCTTTCCTCATTTTCCCTGTTCTCTCTTTTTTCATTTTTTCATTGTTATCCATTTTCTTTTTTTCTTCTTCAGGATGGAGTTGGTGTGGATTTGCCTTTATTCATTGTTTATCTTTTGTGGGAGCGGAGGAGAGGGAAAGAGAGAGGGAGAGAGAGAGGAGAAGGGGGTAGGACTTAGAGGGAGGGAGAGAGGAGAGAAGAAGTTCGTTTTGTCTCTTTCTTTCGCTTCCCATTCCTATCTCTCTTCTCCTGTTCTCCTCTCTTTTCCCTCGCAACCATTTCCTTCTTTCTTCCCACCCTCTCCTTCTTTCCCTCTTAATCTATATTTATTTGTTTTTTTCCGCCTTTTTTTCTCATCTTCTCGTCTATTCCCATCTTTATTCGCTTACTTTGCCTTCCTTTCTCCCATTTCTCCTTTCTTCTTCTTATTTGCTTTCTCTCCCTTCTTCCTCCTTGTTTCCATTCCCAATTCCCATTTTTATTCGCCTTCTGTCCCCTCTTTTTTCTCTTCCTTTCTATCCATATTTATTTTCTTTGGCCTTCCTTCCTTTTTCTTCCATTCTATGCTTTATTGACATTCTCTCCCCTCTTGTCTCTCTCTTATTCCATCTTTTTAGGCTTTCTCTCCCCTCTTGTCCCTCTCCTATTCGCCACATATTTTATTTGATTTTCTCTCCCCCTCTTCCCTCATCTTATTCGCAGTCTTTAATATCTTTCTCTGCCCTTCTTGTCCGCTCTCCTATTCCTCTATTTTTATGTTGCCTTTCTTCGCTTCTTTCCCTCTCCTATTCCTATCTTTGTTTGCTTTCTCTTCCCTCTTTACCTCTAATCCTATTCCCATCTTCTTGCTACCTCCTCCCTCATCCCCCCTCTCTCTATTCCCATACTTTCTCTACCTTCTCGTCACACCTCTTTCAACTGCCTCTATTACCATCTTTATAGGCGATCATCTCCCTCTTCTTCTCCTCGCTATTCCCATCTTTATTGGCCTCCTCTCCCCTCTCCTATTCCCATCTTTCTCTACCTTCTCTCCCCTCATCCTCCTCTCCTATTCCCATCTTTCTCTACCTTCTCTCCCCTCTTTCCCTCCTCCTAATCCCATCTTTATTGGCCTCCTCTGCCCACTCCTATTCCCATCTTCTTACCTCTCTCCCCTCATCCTATTCCATCTTTCTCATCTTCCTCATCCTATTCCCATTTTTCTCTCTTCTCTCCTAATTCCATCTTTATTGGCCTCCTCTCCCCTCTCCTATTCCCATCTTTATTGACCTTCTCTCCCCTCTTCCCCCTCCTCCTATTCCCATCTTTATCGACCTCCTCTGCCCACTCTTATTCCCATCTTTATTTGCTTTCTCTCCTCCTCTTCCTTTTGTTGACAGAGACACCGTCATTCGAGGTCGGGCAGGTTAATGGGCAAACATACTTCTCTGACGCACCTGCATGTTCACTCAATCTTGAGATTATAATGAAGAATATTTTGGACTTGGTCTTCTTCCTTCCTCCTCGCTTGGCGTCGCTTTCGTCCTTGTTTTATATATTTTTTATTATTAATTTATTTAATTTATTTTTATTTTTATTTGTTTAATTTTTTTGCTTCTGGCTTCTGTCTTATTTCCTTTTCGTCGTTCTTTTTCGACTATTCTGCTTTCGCCTTTTTCCTATACGTTTTTTTTATGTCCTCTTTCCTTTCTTCCCCTTTTGACTGCCCTTTTTATATTACTTCTTCCCCTCTCTTTCTCCAGTTCTCCTTCCCTGCCTTTTCCCTCCACTCTCCTCCCCTTCCCGGTTCTTTTCCCTTCCCCTCTGCTCCCTTCCCAATTTCTCTTCCCCTTCCCTCCCCTCCCTTTTCCCCTTCTCCCAATTTCTCTTCCTTCCCTCCCTCCCCTTTCCCTTCTCCCAATTTCTCTTCCCCTTCCCTATTCCTCTTCACCTCCCAATTTCTCTCTCCTCCCTCCTCCCCTTTTCTTCCCCTCCCTCCCCTCTCCCCTACTCTCTTCCTCTTCCCCTTCTCCTCCCAATTTCTATTCCTTTTCTCCCCTCTCTCTTCCCTCCTCCCCCCTCCTTCTTCCCATTCCCTTCCTCCTTTCCTCTTCCCTCCCAATTCCCTCCTCCTTCTCCTTCTTCGACCTCCTTCGCCAACACCATATATAAAGCGAAAAGCAAAATGAGCTGTTGGTGGGCACGCGATCCTGTCATTGTGGTGTTGCCTGCATAAGATGAATGCACTGCGCGAGCTCTGCAATCCGTCTTGCAACATTTTCTACGGCTATTTTGTTGCGTATCCAATCGCCCCTTTCTTTCTTTTCTTTCCTTTTCTTCTCTTCTCTTTTTCTCTCTCTCTCTTCTATCTATCTTCTTCTCTCTCTCTCCTCTCTCTCTCTCTCTCTCTCTCTCTCTCTCTCTCTCTCTCTCTCTTCTCTCTCTCTCTCTCTCTCTCTCTCTCTCTCTCTCCTCTCTCTCTCTCTCTCGTCTCTCTCTCTCTCTCTCTCCTCTCCTCTGCTCTCTCTCTTTCTCTTTCTTCATCTCCTCATTCTCCCGTCCTCTCTTTCCCCTTCTTCTTTACCATGTATTATCAGTTTTAATATATATCTATTTTTCTACCTTTAGCAGTGCTTATCATCAGTGTTCAATTATTGACCTCATTTGGATAAATAATGATAATTATGATAACCTACCTTTATAATACTGGATATTATGTTGATTTAAGTATACAATTATCTTTAATGTTGATATACCTTTTTTGTTCATTTTGTATTTATAAAAGGCTAGAGGAAGGTTAATGGATAGCGCCTAAAACTGACAGGTTTTAACTAAGCCATTAATTAGAGAACTACAGCCAGAATTCCGAGGTTTAACCAGTTTAAAGTTAACGGATAGTGTATTTGTTGTTGTTGTTGTTGTATTCATGATGTAGGTTTTTTTTTTTTCCTGGTTTGCTATGGAGATAAGGGAGTCTGTATGCAGGAAGTAATTTGAAAAAACGGGAAGTGATACTTTGAACTTTGATTTTAAAGTTTATGTGTGGATGCATTTTATTTTTTTGTATGGTATTTCAGTGTTGTTTTCAGCTTTAATAGGAAGACACACACACGAACACGCACGCACATACACACTCACTCACTCTTCTCTCTTCTCCTCTCTCTCTCTCTCTCTTCTCTCTTCTCCTCTCTCTCTCTCTCTCCTCCTCTCTCTCTCACTCTCTCTCTCTCTCTCTCTCTCTCTCTCTCTCTCTCTCTCTCTCTCTCTCTCTCTCTCTTCTGTATGCAAATAGATTAATGAATACCTGGATAGATATGGATAGATATGCCAATACATCAAATAGATGTTAAACCCTGTACATTTCTCTTTGATTATGTATACACAAATATATAAAATATATAACACCCCTACGATCATTTGCAATTCAAAGAGGAACGCGACTAATTTCCAAAAGTTAAACCGAGAAAAAAAAGTTTGTCTTTCTTAGGATCATGTGGCGAAGGGATCCCGAAGGGCGAATGGTTACGGAAGTTAGGCGCGAGTTACTCTGAAGTTCTTGCGGTGTCATATTTTCACACGGTCTAGGTCTAGGTCTTTTTACCTTGTAGTTTGTGTTAATTTCTGGACTTCTGGTAGTATGAGGTGCGGCCATACTCGCGCAGGCAGACACACGCACATAACACATACACACACGCACACGCACACGCACACACAACACACAACACACACACACACACACACACACACACACGCAACACACATCAATCCAAAACAGATCGATTCACTTCAGTATATTATGAAGAACACGCAATACATGAAAACTCGAACACTAAAAAAAAAAAAAAAAAAAAAAAAAATGACAACTCCAAAATATATAAGCCAGCGTCTCACACCACATCACGAATAAATTCCAAAAGTGGCGTTAACATTACCATGACCAAGATATCAATAACCACTTAGTCTTGATGAAAAATAAATTTGCTGCGGAGGATGACCTGCCTCGAGGTCACCGGACGTAAAACTTTTATTGACACGGCGCTGGAAATATTGTCTTTCGTAATAGGTATTTTTTTTCTTTCTTTTCGTTCGTTTCGCGATGGTTAGTTAGGGTTTTTTTTTAATCCCCTCTCCTGATACAATAGGTATGTTGTTATTTGTCTGTCTGTCTGGCTCTTTCTGTGTCTCCGTGTCTCTCCGTCTCCTTATCTCTTTCTGTGTCTCCGTCTCTCTGTCTCCCTATCTCTCTTTGATAATGATTGTGATAATGATTACAATTATATCAGGAATACTAATAATAATGAAAACAATATAACGATGATTATAACAAGACAATACCTTAACTATAAGAATAACAATGGTAGTTATTATTATAATCATAATTATGATCATTATTGTCATCATTACGAATTTCATTATGATGATGATAACAGAAACAAGATAACAACAGACTAAACAACAATGATAAGATACTTGGGAGCAATATCAGTAACAATGGTAGTTATTATCATAATCATAATTATGATAATTATTATCATCATTACAATTATCATTATGATAACAAAAACAAGATAACAGCAGACTAAACAACAACAATCTTATACTTGAACACAATATCAAGGAAACGTGAACCATGTCTCCGGTAAGGCCGCTGCCACACC